TCGCCATAAATCATATTGGCGAATGTCACCGAACAGCCTTATAAATGCCCGGATTAGTTCTGAAGCTTAATAATGGTGCCATGCATGTCGGCCGTTTGTCGGTCCGTCCACAATTGCTTGTAAATATAATCTTTAAATGACATTTAGAAGTAGGTAGAACATTCAGCAAGGACAACTTTATGGATACAGTATTAAATTAAAGGAGTAGTATATCCATAATAGTAGTTCTTGCTGAATGCTTGTAAATATTCTAAAAGTCACAATTATTGATAGATTTTAACAAAACTTTGTGTAATTGTTTATTATCACTCAAGGATGAACCTTGAATATAAGACAAATGGAAAAATGTTAAGTATGAATAATTGCCCTTGTTCTTGAACACTCATTCAATTTTTTAGCTCGTAAATACTTTTGAAGGCACTATTCTTAATGGATTTTGACAAAACGTGGTGTAAATGTTTATTATCATTATCATTACGATTAATGTGAGTTATTACCCCTGTTCTTGAAAACGCGTTATATTTTTTAGCTTGTAAACACTCTACAAAACAGAATTCGTGGCTGATTTTGACGGGAGTTCTTGAAATTTGTTTTTCATTGCTCAAGGATGAAACTTATAGAAAATAACAAAAATATTTATTTTAGTTGTTGCCATTGTTCTGTGAAAAGTGTTCATAATAAATACTCTAGAAGACACAATTATTGGTGCATTAGGACGAAACTTAGTGAATTGTGTAAACTATGGATGAACAATATAAAAAAATGAAATATAGGTTTTTGTGGATATCTGACACTCGGTCCATTCTAAGTGTTGTATGTTGCTTGCGGTGAACGTTAGGATATTGGTTGATAAGGTATTTGCACTGAAAGTCAAATTTAATCAACAATTGTGCCTTCTGTGTGGATCGACGAACAAGGGCAATAACTCATAATCATCTAAAGTGTTGATTTTCATTGATTTCCATTGGTGAAAATAAAGTTTCGTCAATATCAGTCAAGAATTTTGCCTTCTGAAGTGTTTGGTGATAATGAACAATTATCACAAGCACTGTGCCGTGCAGAGCGTTTACAAGCTTAAAATTGAAAGTGTTTTAAGAACAAGGGCAATAATTCATAATAATAATATTAATTCATAATGTTTTTCGATTTTTCTTATTTTCATGGTTCATCCGTGATAATAAACAATTACACCAAGTTTTGTCAAAATCTCGTCAATTTGTCATGATGATATTTTTCGATTTTTAATAGGTTTCATCCATTAGTGATAATAAACACCATGTTTCATTAACATCCGTCAAGAATTGTGTCTTTTGGAGAGAATACGAGCTAAAAATTAAACGCGTTTTCAAGAACAAGGGCAATAACTCAATCTTGATATTTTTCGATTTTTTTTTATATTCAATAGGGTTCAACCTTGAGTGATTACTAACACTCATACTAAGTATCAGCTCTCAAGACTTGTGCCATTGACTAGCTAAAAATTGAACGCGTTTTCAAGATCAAGGGAAATAACTCATACAGATATTTTTCTGATTGTTAAAATGTTTCATCCATGTGTGATAATAAACATTTACACCACGTTTTGTCAAAATCCGTTAAGAATTGTGCCTTCAAATGTGATTACGAGCAATTGTAGACGGACCGAAGAACGGCCGGACGGAAAATGTCGAAAAGCTTCACACTAATCAGGGCATTTATAAGGCTTATAATTGACATTCGCCATTATGATTTAAGACATTTTTGAAAACTTAATTTATTTCCTTATGAGAACATTTGCCCCCATAGAGCAGTCGGTGTTTAAAAAAATGACGTAGCAATGCTGAATATTCAAAAGGGTCGCGACTTAAGTAATTTGCATAAAATTCATTTGAGATAAAACAGAAGACATAATACACAAAAGAAGTTACACATATCATTTTACTACAACGTTTTCCAATTTACAAATAACACTAATAATATATTTTAAATTTGTCTTTGAATCAGTGTATTAGACAAATCGATAGAGCATGGATTAATGGCACAAATTGACCTCCATAGTTAAGAACACCATTCTACAATGATTGCAAAATTCGCGGTAACTTTAGACAGATAAAAAGTACATTTCTTTAATACTAGGGCAATAACTATGAATTGATACTATGAATAATATATAATAAGATAATATATAATCAGGATAACGTTGATTCGATAATATCAATTCCAACGATTAAAACGATTGATTCATTAGAAAAAAGTAAAGAATAAAGAAATATAATACAAACAAGTTATAAATAGCTTATTTTGGCTAGTGTTATGCATGAAGTTAGTTTCTTACGAAATTATCAGACATGTATATTTTAAACATATAATTCTGCCATTTTGTATATCATCCTACAGCTGTCGAAGTAAATGTCTTACCTTGGCACCTTGACGCAACAGTTCTCCTGCAAAACCTTCTCCGATACCCTGAGCTGCGCCTGTTATAAACGCAGTCTTTTCCATAATATCCATTGTAGAAACCTTAGGTAAAGTGAGCCGAATCCTATCTAATAATAGTAAGTAGGTCAGGTCAGAGTGATATAAGTATCTTGATTGTAAGAATATAGCTAAGCTAACAATACCTCTTGTACTTGCTCATAGAAAGGGATTAGGAATTGTCAGCTGAAAGAAAGAAGGTTCAGTCCTTTTTTCCTTAACTAAAA